CCAACATGTCAGTGAGGGGGAGCTAAAGGACTCGATTGCTTTTGTATTCTAGTCTTTCTGCTCCCCCATACTCCCTGTCCCAACTGGAACTCTGTAACATTGTGTATAACGTTTTGAATATATAGTATGGTTATTTTGGGGTTTAAGAATTCATAAAACTTGCTCAGCTAGAGAAAGCACAATTTAGAATTCAGATCTTCCAGCAGCCACAAACTGTCCCCACCCCAGACACAGGCATATGCCCGTGTTTATTAGTGGGGGTGGAAGGAGGGGAGGGGGCCATGTTTAGGTATGAAAAGAACTAAAAGCAAAACAAAAAACCAAACAAACTGAAAAAAAACCAACCACTCAGAAAAAAGCTCATGGTCTCTCCATTTCTCTTTAATACGGAACAGTATTCTTTATACAGTTGTAACATGATTTCAAGAGCAGAAGTAAGAAACATTACTGATAGACTTCAGGGTGTAAAAATATCACTTTGAAGGATGGCTAGTTGAGGTTTTTTTACACAAATACTTTTTAAAAGTTTTCAAGTTTATAGTGTCTTCAAAGTTTAATGTCAAGATTACAATCAAAGCTGTGGAAGATGTTTTATTTTGGAGGGACGGTTTACTGCAGCCTAAATCCCACGGGGCGGTAGCAGTGGTTCTGAAACTAGAGTGGGCTTCTGAGTCCCCACAGGGCTTGTTGAACTCGGCCCGCTGACCCCAGTCCAGGGTCTGTGACTTAGCAGGTCTGGGCTGGGGCCTGAGAACCTGCATTTCCAACAAGTTCCCAGGGGATGCTGTCGCCGCTGGTCCCACACCACACTTGGAGACCCAGCGAATAGAGAAAGCAAGAATCTATCTACCTGTGGCGAGGGCTGTAAACTTCTGGCACCAGGGCTCTGGTGCTCTTCTCAGGGGTGTTGGGGGGAGCACCATCCGGAAATCACCCAGGCGTTTGCAATCTAATCCTTGATCTCACTTCTTTAGTTTGTACCTTCTAGTTATTTAAAAATAAAACGCTGCAGGTTATTTTATCCTTGGAAGAAAAAGACAATGGTTTAGTCCTACTGAGTACTGCCATGTATCACACATCCTGTGAATTACACACAATTCTGATTACAAATGAGCAGTGAAAGCATATTTCCACTTACAAAAACTAAATCCGTATCATTTACAGCTGGTCTCTTTGGCCCTTTCCTGGTGCCTGGACCACCCCTTGCCCTGGGCATTCTCTGAAGTTTCCCGAGAGCAGAGCCTAGCCTGGGTCAGTCAGGATGCAATCAGATGGCACTTAGAAGTAGTTGCAACAACTTATTAGTGGGACACGTGGCTGACTCTCCTACTCGCTCAGACGAGGGGGCACAGGCACTCTTTTCCTGAGGACCAGGATGTCTGCCTCTCCCAGAACAGACCTTAACTGCTCCTTGACTGCTGTTTAGCTAAAACCTCCTTTCTGCAAAGCAGGAAAGCACCACCCTGAACTTGGTCCTACCCTGGGGCTGACAGAAAGCTTGGCGGGAGTGGAGTGCTGGGCTGCGGCCAGGAAGGAGGACCTGAGAGCTTTGGTCAGCGAACAATGAGGCTGGGTGGTCTTATTTCTAACACCCCCTGGATAAGCAAGCGGCTTCAGGGTTTGGTAACTCATAACCTTAACAAAAAAATGGTAAAATACATTTTCTCACAGGGTCTGGCTGCAGTTGGCAAACCATGAAACGTTCATGTGAAACCCAAGGAGAGGGGCAGTAACCGGGACCATCACACTGTCTAAGCCCAGTCCCATCCACACAGCCTCAGGGAGAGCATCTCTGGACAACGGTCACGTCAGAAGGAAAACAGCACTAACATGTCAGCTTATGTCAGAGGGAAACCAAGTTCTTTTTCTTTCTTCCTCACCTCCCTAAATGTCTGTATTAGTGCAGAGGCTGTCTCTACAAAGCACTCCCAAATGTACGTAGACCACAGCAACACCGCCAGGGTGCCACTGGAACTTCCCGAGTTCCAGCGTTTGTCCAAAAGCAAAAAACATCAAATGGCTGGGGGAAAGGGTAAGCACAAGTTACCATCAGCCTGTCTTTTATGTCATTGAGGTCAGCTTTAAATCCGTAAGCTTGTCCCAGGGAGCATGTGGGCTCCCTGGGGCCAAGTTCAGAAAGGAACCTGCCAAACGCCTCCCACGTTGTTGGGGGGCTGTAACTGTTTCACCTCTAACAGCAGGACTGAGCAAAGTGAGTCTACCGTTAGGGATGCTGAACCCAGACGTCAGCTAGTCTGGAGTCTCGGCCCCGCCCTGGGTGACCCGGCACCAGGCTTTAGTCTGGGAGGTTCATAGCAGTGCTGTTCTCGCCTGAAGGAGTGTTTGACTCGACTCAGAACTCTCAGGGTTTTCTGGACTTGACACTGCTGCTAGACAGCAGTTTCCCAGTGAGCATTCTCAAGTCAACACAGGTAAGAAGGGCACGCACGTTTACGTACAACAGACAGACGCAGGCCTGACAAGAACAGGACCTCCTTATTCTGAGCATAAGCATGTTTTGTGGCTGGGAGTTGGGAAGGGCAGCTGGACATTACAGAAAGACCACCTCCTCTTATCAGGCCAGCCAGGTGACTAAACCACCCCTCACACAGAGGCAGAGGCCCCGGGAGAAGCAAGCACCGTGCCTCCGATGGCCCCAGAGGCCTTTCAATGGAGCACTGTCTTTACGACCTGACGTTGGTCAGGGAGGGCACAGCGTGAGGGAGGGCGCTGTAAGTCTGCAATCCCTTTGGTCTCACCTTCTCTCTGCTCTTGATGGACAAAGAACATTCTTTAAAAAAAAATTATTCTTAAAAAACCTGGGCAGGAAAGGAATGCCAGCGGGAGGAAGAGAGAGGGAGAATTAGAGGTGGTGCATTCCATGTTTCAGCACTTCAGCTTTCCAGACAGTCCGAATTTTGGTTTGTTTACAAATTCATCGTGCGACACAAGGTAAAGCCAAGCAGTCCAAGTCCACAGGGTTGAAAAGCAGCTCATATTTATCATTCAGTTTTTAGATCTTCAAATGCTATGAATTCTCTAGAAAGGTAACCATCTCACTTCACAGCCAGGAAGTTACCAAAAGAAAAATCTTGGCTCTCCCCCCTTCACGTACAGAAGGTACAACACTTCACAGAGACAGATTTCTGTTGGAGTTAGACTAGATTTCTCTTCACAGCCCTTAATCTCACGAGGTGAGAAGGAGTGGAAGTTGCCAAGCTGTTGGCTACCAGACCCATCAGTCTGTTTAACTCTGGCTAAAAGCAGAGAATAATGGGCAAGTTCCCAAGCTTCCCCCTCCGGCGCTGGCGTGAAGATCCTCATGTAACACACACGCCGCGACTTCCAATTGCCACACGGTAGCGGGTGCACAGAGCGCACTGTGTTCACAGTCCACACAAAGACAAGATCACAAATTGGGACTAAAAAGTAAAGGTATTTTGGTTTTCCAGTTGGATTCGCACTCTGGCAAACTCTCTCAATGGTTCATTCCCCATTCTACCCCCAAGTCAGCTGATTTGTGAAATGTTCTTCCAGTAAACATAGATTGAGCTCTTTCTCTGGCATCCATCATGTTCTGCCAGTGACGACTACAGGATCAGGTGCTAAGGAGAAAAAAAGCCCAAGTGCCACAAGATGTGCGTCTAGGCAGTGTGGGGGTCACTGGGGTCTACTGCTCTGCCCATTTTACAACACAGGGGTAAGGGACGACCTGGGTGTCCTCTAGATCACGGATGAGGAAAGATTTGTCCTTAAAAACAAACCTAAGCCCCTGGCTTGTTCTCTTTGACGGCCACAGTCTGGAGTCTGAGTGGAGGGCCTTCAAATGAACACTGTCTGCAGTGACCGCCCAGTCCGGGCACAACAGGGTCAGACCCAGGCCAAGCCAGCGAGGCCAGAAGTCATGCTTGGGGCAGGGCCGGCTCTCAAAGAACAGCTCCTTCCAGGTGAGGAGACAGCAGCAGCCCCACAGGGAGAACACATGCCATGCCTGTGTTTTAAGTAAACTTGCTCAAAACATTTCCCTCTTCAGCGTCTACCAGAGCCACCCTCTATCAAACCCCTGAAGTCAGTGAGGTCAGTAGTAGGCTGATTCCAAACATAGCCAAACACTTAGTCACTAAGCCTCAAGGTCATGGGACGTGGTCCCTGAAGCTAGGGGAGTATCTCAGTCACTAATGACGACGTGTGTTCCCAACAGGCCCTGCTGACACACACGACAGCTCTGCGGGGCACAGTAAATCTGCTAACAGCCGGACAACAGCATGGCTTTTCACTAGGGCAATCGCATGATTCCTTACGAGGCCAGTGCTGCTTGTAATGTGGAGTGTGTGGGTTATAGTACTGAGACAACGTCCACATTTATTCTTCACAAAGACTTGTATATTTAAATGCAAATCTAAGGACCCTCCCTATTCTAAATTTATAGAACACTATTTGAATAAGTCTCAAAACTTTGTAAAACAAATAATCTAGTACCCTACATTTGAAGCCCTTTGTAATAATTGTTTTTTTCTGCTAATTTGAAAAGAAATAACTTATTTACATATCAAATAGAGTGTAAACGTGGATGTCAACCACCCCTTTAGTTTTATAAATCTGCTTTTAGATCATCAACAGGCAGATCTCCTTACCTACCATGATCCTAAACACGAGAAAATATCCTTCTTTTAAAAAACTGTTACGAGTATTTATTAAAAAGTGCAATTCAAAAGTTAGCTGGGCAAGTACATCATTGCAAATCACAAAAAAAGTAAAAAACAAAACAAAACAAAAAGCCCCAAACAAAAAAAAAAACAAGAAAAAAGGTAAAAAAAAAAAGGTGTACTGAGGAATGGACCCCAAAAGATGAGGAAACAAGAAGACTAAAAGCTAGAACTCTGCCCAATGTCGCTGTGCTTTCCAAGAGCACAAGACGACAGTGAGGGGCGCGCAGCCCCCACGCCGCGCTCAGGTACTGGGTTCAGCTGCGACGGCAGTGTTAGGTTATTTACCAGGGAGGTTATAAAAATATCCTATGTACACAGGTACGCTGGAGGCATTTTAAAGTCATCAGAAGCTTGAAGTTTAGTGTCTCAGCAGTTTCAGCTACTAAAACTCAATTAAAGCGTCTGTCATTTAAATTTGGGTTGGCTAAGTCATCCAAATGGATGATCAGATCGAGTTGTCATCTTGGGAAAGCAGAACCAAGTTCACCTACCAATCCTTGTGATGGTGAGAAAAGTCTGGTCCAGAACTAGCCTTTTTTGTCATTACAGTAAACGAGTAAATGTAATCAACGTGTTAACCACTCCCAACCCCATCCCTCAATGTAGAGTGACACAGGGATAAAACAACTGTCCATGAGGCTAATCCCCGTCTTAATCCATTCAAGGGTGCCACTGAGCTGCTCAGCAGCCAGACATTTAGGGGTCACCCTAAAAATGCAAGTTGCTCCTCTGGGGAGGAGGCTGTAGGATAGCAACAGGAATTCAGCAAGGCTCTGACCTCCGTGACCTCGCCCGCCCTTCCCTTGGCAGTGCACTCAGGTCCTGCTGCCCTTTCCTTCCCCCTTCAATTCAAGCCACGAGTTGTCAGCATCCCCGAAGCCCAGCGCCTTTCATTATTTCCCGTTAGTTATTCCTACCACAAAAAAATGTGCCTGGAAAAGCAATTTTATCCTACCACTTATCCCTGAAAAATGAATCACCCCATTTTCTGTCACCAACTGCTTCTGAGCCCTCTGTCCCCATTAATAACCAGCTCTCGGGGGCTCAGGAATGCTACCACAGTGGGAAAGGAAACCTACCCGGAGCCACATTCCTGACAGGGTTCTTTTGGATGAACAGCGGCGTGCCGAGCAGCGGAAGGGGCTGAGCAGGAGAAAAGAGCTGCCAAAGATGGAGGGAATGAGCAACGGCCAACACTGAGTCTGCGAATTTTTCTGGATTCCTCAGAGGCCCTCCAGGGGGAATGAAGTCCAGGGAGGCAAAGCAGTGGCCCGTTGTCCTCAGAACAGGACAGGCGGCGCCAGGCGCGTGCAGTCGTCCACTTCCTCTTCCCACGGCCCTTGCAGCGTGGGGACGGAGGAGCTGTCTCAATTGTGGGGTCACAAAGAGGAAAGTCAGTGCGGGCTGTTTTCCGGAGAGGAACGTGAGGAGACGGCAACGTCGGCGTGCTGCTTCTCCTGCTCCCCTCGGGTCTGTGCGTTGTGTGTTGTGCGTGGGAGGAACGTCACCCCTCACAGCACTAGGAAGAGGATCAGCACGAGCAGCAGGACCGCGAAGAGGATGGCTATGGCACACCACTGGCGCCGATCTGGAAGGCAGGACACGAGGATTAGCTCTCTCGGGACTCTACAGTCCCCAGATACAGTTACATGAAACTTAAGGCAACAGCCTGAAGCAGAAAGTGGACAGCACACGCAAATGACAGGGACACAGAGGATCCTGAACCCGCCAGGCACCTGGGCCTCTCACGCTGCTCTGCTCCTGGCCGGCACTGACGTGCAGTCGCAACGCTGCCAGCGCCCTGCAAGCGAGCCTCGCAGTAAGGACACACTCTGCGCCTCAAGCCCTTAATCGAGATCTGGGGCTCTCCACTTTCTGCCGGTGGTCACTGTATCCGGGAAAAGGTGCTGGCACCGGCCTTACAGATCACGGCCCTCCTGCTTTAATCTCCACCAAAGTCAAATCATTTAGTTCCACAGTAATCATGCTCTTTTCTCAAGGAGCACTTGGGAGGATGTCAAGGAGATGAAAGCAACTTCAAGAAACGGAGGGCTGAAACAGCAAGCTGCAGTGGTCATGGGCGTGACTGATTCTACACCACACCTCGTCAGGAAGAAGTGAGACTACCTAACCAGTAACCGTCTGACAGTAACAGACAGCTCATCTGTGAAGGAAAGCAGAATTTTTTCTGAGAGCTTCTGCCCTACCAACAATTTAGAAAAGGCACAGGAAACACACTGGCTCAAGTCCACCTAAATGGCCGAGAGCAAAGACACCCTGAGGGACAGGAGAAGGGCCCACAAAGGCCCAGGGGAATCCAGCGCCAGCCTGCAATCCCGACTGCCGCGGCGGCTCCACAGGCTGCTGTGACAACTAAACAACACGAACAGCCTCACACACGCGCTGTGCTGGGCTCGGGGCACAGGATGCTCTCTTAGCTTGGGGAGATGCAGAGAGTGTAAGTAGTCTTTCTGCAGGTGAGTCCTGGCATTTTCTACAAAGGGTCAGACTGATAGAAAATTTCACTAGCCTATGGAAGTGTAGTTCAACTGCTAAAAATTAGAGTTCCATTTAAATAGAAATATAGGGGTATACTGATTCATCAAAAGTTTATTTGAAAGCTTGCAGATTTTAGCATACCGTTAGCTATTAGATTTTAGATACTGAGAATCACATTACAAAAAGGTCTGCATCTAGGAAAATAGATTGCACAACTTTTCACAAAGCAATGCTAAGTCCACAAAACATGTACTCAGATTATTTAAATATCATGGGTAGCAAAGTCTTAGACTAGGTCAAGAAAGTGCCACCAAGTGACAGTAAGTAGAGCAAGTACCTTCCTAGTGGTGCCCACCTTGCTCTGCCTCAGACATGCCAGAAACTCACGTGGTAACTGTTATTAGGGCAGGGACCCCAAGTCTCACCATTCCCTTTCTGAAACAGGCCTATTCCAAAGGGCACAGGGAGGCAGAGATGGCCTACTCCAGATGATATTTTTAATCTGTTTAACTATCACCTCGGTGGTGGAGAAAACTTGAGTATCTAGCATTCTTTCATCTATTTAAAAATGTTTACAATAATTTAAAACCACTCTCATTAAAATGATTAGTTGATACTCTTCTAGGACTAAACAGTAAAGGTAATTGCTTCCTAACCCCTCAGCCCGCCAATCTCACATATATCCCCACCCCGCCCCCAACATCCAGCCATTTTCAAACCTGGATTTCAAACTCAGAACCAGCTTTCCATTTTTTGCCTTTCAGTCTCTACTCAACCCCCTCCCCACCTCCAATGGCTTTCTCTTCTGCAACTGCATTCAATAGGGGTTTTCATCAAGGAGAATATCCCTCACACACGCTAGCACAACCCAGGAACACTCTTTTAAAGCCGAAATCTTTGAAGTGGTGAGTTGCTTCTATGAAGCATGAACAAGGTAACCCCAGGGAGCTGCTTTCCTAGCAGACTCTCCCCAGAAGGGGTAGGTCCTAACCACAAGGGCTTTTGTGACCTCAAGTGAAAAGTCCTAACCAGCTTTTTGCATGCTCAAGACTTGCCTCAAAAAGTCAGAGGGGAACAAAGGGAACTCCAATGGTTGGTTGTTTTTTTTCCTCCCAATATATTTTCCTCCCCTAAAGAGAAAAGATGAACAACAGAATTTTGGAAAGTGAGGGGAAGAAAACCTTGGTATCTACTCAAAAGAAGATACTTTCTTTGGGTAGGAGAATGACAAGACTAGTGTCACCCTTGGGTCATTCAAAAAAATAAGTGCGGCATCTTGGCTGACTTCTGCCCACGAAGCAGCCAGCCATGGGGAGGGCGGGCATTGTGCCCCTCAGGAACTGTGCAGCGTGTGTTCAGTGACTGCCTAATCAGACCTCAGTGTGTCTTGATATACTTTCTTTATGGACAGGTTTGATTAAAAAGCAGTGAACTTTCCCAAAAGTTATAGAGGAGAACAGAGACAAATACAAATTGCCTTGTTGTCAAATCGAAGCCAACACCACCCAGCCAGAGGCCCTGAGCAATCTTTCTTTGGGGAGCAAGCAAAGATTAAAATGAAAACCCCAGGCAAGCTGTCCAACTGAAGGGCCTTTCAGGCTCAATGCCCTGCTTCCTGGCTCTCTTAGACAAATATAACTAAAGTTCTTACTTTTTCCCCCAAACTTTTCTTTCAGGAGAAAGTAGAATAAAGCATAAGAAAGCCTCAGTGCTATCAATGAACAATGAGCCGTTCATCACAACACAAGTCCTTTTCTAAATTCCTCATCCCTGGACGCTGGGAGACAAGGACACAGTGCGTCTTTGTGCACTGCTCTTCCCCAGACAAACTGGTGCTGAAGTAGCTACTTGACTGGGATTAATACACACACTAGTGAGAGGCCTGCAGGGTGTTTAAACTGGTTACACAATACTTCATTAAAACTTTGTGTTTTTTTAATGAATCTATTCTTCTTTTTATTAGATTTTATGTAAAGTTTTTTTTTTTTTGCTGAGGAAGATTCGCCCCGAGCTAACATCTGCCACTACTCTTCCTCTTTTTGCTTGAGGAAGATTCACCCTGAGCTAATATCTGTGCCAGTCTTCCTCTATTTTGTATATGGGTTAGCCTCCAGAGCATGGCTGCTGATGAATGGTGTAGGTCCGCGCCCGGGAACCAAACCTGGGCCGCCAAAGCGGAGCATGCCAAACTTAATCGCTAGGCCACGGAGCTGGCCGCTGAAGTTTGTTTTTTTATACTGGCTTTGAACATTGTGTAAATTTCAGGTGTACATTATTATATTTCAGTTTCTGTACAGACTGCATTGTGTTCGCCACCAATAGTCTTTTTTCATCCGTCACCATACATACGTGCTCCTTTACCCCCCTTCTGCCCTCCCCTCACCCCCCTTTCCTCTGGTAACCACCAATCTGTTCTCCTTATCTACGTGTTCATTTATCTTCCACATGAGTGAAATCACACAGTATGTCTTTCTCTGTCTGACTTCTTTCACTTAGCATAATACCCTCAAAGTCTATCCATGTTGTCACAAATGGCATGACTGTGTCTTTTTTTATGGCTGACTAGTATTCCATTGTCTATATATACACCCTTATCCATCCATCTGCTGATGGGCAGGGGATTGCTTCCACGTCTATAGCTTTTTTTTTTTTTTTTTCTTTTTTAAGCAGAAGGGTGAGAGTGGAAGAGGAGAGAACAGAAGGAATCAGGAAGAGGACTTTGCAAACCTTTCTCTAAGCGTGTGAAAGAGGAACTAAGGTGGTGCCTGCTTCAGGCAAGGAAGAGCCTGCTAGAAGCATAAAGACATTTGCCCCTGAGAGAAAGAAGGAACTAAGTCTAGCTATGAGCTTCCCTCTACTTTGCATATACAAGTCCTTTGCCCCTTAGGGCCACCTTCTGCGCATCTTACTCTTTTTCTTTAAACATTTACTAAGTACTAATACATGGAAGACAGTGTTAAACACTTGTAAATTAATTATTATTATTTCATTTAATCCTCACAATGACCTTTAGAGGTTAGTATCAACCTATTTTTACAGATAAGCAACTGAGCCCCAGAGAACTTCTATGTAACTGGACTACCAGTTAAACCGCTGAAAAGCAAATACACATATGTATTTAAATCTTGCCTCAAAAGGCTAAACTATTAGACTCTATAACAGTACCTGATGGGAAGAGACCAACAGAAGAATGAGGTGTCAAGAAACAAGGCATGTTCTAATGGGGGCGGGGGTGCTACAGTTCAGGAACTCTGAAGTTACCTCAAGGAGACTCTCAGTTCCTCCCTTCACAAAGCCACCCTCACCAAATAAAGAAAAAAGGAGATACTGAATTTTTTTTAATTTAAAATATATTATTTCTCATGTACTAGGGGAGATGGGTTATAGTAATTAAAAAAGAGAGTCACTGGAACACATCTTCCTATATAGTAACTAATTTGAAAATTGTTACTTCTTCATCCCCATTCTGGTGCAAATTTCCTGCAACATTTCACTATGGATTTAAATAAAAACAATTTAAATTAGATCTGCAAGGCTGTCTTATTCTGAAATAGTAGGCATTTTTCTTTCAATGAAAGAAAGTCTAGGAAAAATAGTAACTGGCTTCTTAATTATTGGTTTAAAATAATTCCCCAATTTGGCCAAGAAACAAAATAAAATAAAAAAGGATTTTGTAACTGCCAAGTAAGGTGCCCCACCAGGAGAAAAGCCACCAACCAGCAGCAGCCTTGTGTAGCGGTGGGGCACAGAGCCCTCCTCCCGAGTGAAGGCCACAAGTGAAGACCAGGGCCGCACACACTAGTCTTTCCTTCTCTGACCCAGAAGCATGACCAAAAATGTGCCACAGGGAAGGGATCCAAATGGGCAGACCTGTGAGAGACCCCCATAGACTGTGTTTCTAGAATTAAGTAAGAATTCTTAAGCTTTAAACACCATACATACCACTGGTCATGTGAGATACTTTTGCAAGTTTCTTCATCACATTGTCCAGCCGAGACTGAGTGCTCTCCAACTCGTGAGAGAAATCATCCAACATACTAGAAAGAGAAGCAGACAGAGAAGGTAGCTGGTAAGCTCCAAGTCTTGGCAATGCATCGGTCATGGAATTAAATCAGGGTCTAGGCTTCAGTTTTAGCAAACATGAAACAGGCTACATTGGGATTCAAGCCCCCAATCTACTACCCAAAATCCTTGGGACAAGATATGTTTTAGATTCCATAATTTTTGGAATTAAAAAAAAGTAGTAAGTTATATATGCTGTATATTAGGCAACGCCCTCAGCAGGGTCTAGAGCAGTCCCCTAATCAAACACACGGACATTTCTGCAGAGGAAACTACGAGGAATCATAGTTGCAGTCTGTTCAGGTCAGGTCTTTCTGTAACATGAACTTGCTGCAAACTTAAAAATTTTTTTTTTTTAATGTCAGAGCTTTCTAGATTTCAGAATTGCAGACAAGGCAGTGTGGACCTGACTACACAATAACACAAACTGAGTATCAGTGAAATGTAGCAGAAAGAAGGCTATGTGGAGTCAGACAACCACTCGCTGCCACTTGCTCACCCCAGACAGGGCACCTACAGCTGCCGGGAGTGTGTGCTCACCTGTAAACGGGCAAGCCTATCAGCCCTGCTGCCCTGCCAGGGTCTTGTGAGCACCACGTAACATACAAAGCACTTTATGCAATACGAGTTAGGAAACACACTTTAATCAAATAATCTCCCTGAAGGCACTTTGTGCTCTATCAGAAAGCCGGAGGCCTCAGGACTGACATTCCCGATGGTACCCGCTCCTCCTCGTCTACACCCACAGAGAAGCCAGTGTTTTCCCACTAAGAGAACTGGCTCCAGGCGGCTCACACTATTTGCTGTCCAAGGTGCAGGTAGGAAAGAAAACACCAAAATACTCTTATTCAAGTAGTGTTTATTTCATAAATTTCTAAACATTCCAGACTTTTCAACTTTTGATTAACATGTGATTATTCTGAGGATAGAATGTAACATAACAATTAGTACCAGAGGTCTCATTACAAAGGCTTTATTACTCTGACAGCATCAATGGCAGCTAGCAACTACTGGTCTTGGTCTGTGCCCACAAGAGGCACCTGACAGCTCCACAGGATTCAGGGCAACCAACTCCTCATTAAATTCATTACTAAATAAACCCCATGCTGACAACTGAATAAACAAGTCTTGGTCACTTATCTGAATTTTCAAAGTAAAACATTTTTAGCTCATCTTAGATCCTGGTGGCATCTTGGCCGTGCAGCTGGCAAACCTATCCAGGCAGGGCCAAATGCTGACAAACAAGAGCTACCTCTGTGGGCTGGACATGACTTCTTACTGAAGACAAAATAGGCAAGTCACCTAACCTCCAGCCCAGGGACACCCACTCACCAAGTTTCTAGCTCAGATCTGTGTACCTCGCTGCTGTCCAAAACAAATATGAAAATGAAAAATGTGATTCACATATGCCATTTTATATTTTCTAGTAGCCACATTTAAAAAAAAGAAACAGGTGAAATTAATCTTAATAATCTGTTTTATTTAGCCCAATATATCCAAAATATCATTCTCAAACGTGATTAATATAAAAAATCATTAATAAACTATTTTACATTTTTTTACACTAAATCTCTAAAATCTGGTATGTATTTTTCTACTCAGGGCACGTCTCAATTCAGACTGGCCACACGTGGCAAGTGGCTATTGTACTGCACGGCACAGGTCTAAGTCCAGACTTATGTTTGTCCCTTTTAATTTACTTACTATTTTTATCCGAGTTATACACATACACAGTTTAAAGAACTAAATAGTCCTACAGGCTTTTTATTAAAAACTACTGTTGTTTCCCATCCCCTAGGGCAATGGGTTTCAACTCCTCAACTATTCTCTTGGTGCTTTCCCATTTTTTGAAGTAACATGCTTGCACCTCAGTATCCTGATCCCACTGATTCTGTGCTATGAAAGGCTAGGGCTTAGCTCTCTTCCCATTTCATTCCCACCCCTGCATCCTTCCCATTTCTCTTCCCCTTCCTTCCAATGTAATTGTGTCACAATTTGATGAGATCAACATTCAGGGTTTGCACTACCAGGAGTGAGTAAATGCTCTTCTCAGCTCGGGGGTGTGTGGCATGAATCACACTGCTCCTAGGCTCTCCCCTCTGCTGGCTGAGGCTCAGCTTTCTCTGGTCTGTTGAGTCAGGAACCTTTCACCTTTCTACTTTCCAGGATCTAAAACGTTATGGTTATTGTTCCTTATTCCATGCTGTATGTCCCCATTGGTTTTATGCCACACAAAAAATCCCTTTCCTATTGTTTTAGTGGGCTTTAGAGAGGGAAACGAGATAAAAGGGGGTGTTTAATTCACCACCTTTAACTGGAAGTCTCTCAGGCTTGCTCCATCATCTACCCAAACAGAAGCAGCTCAGGCAATTAGTCCTTTCCCATTACCACACTGGAATTTTAGGATAAGAATGCATTTTAGACAGAAATGAAACATGTACGCCTAAAATCTTGCTATTCCGGCTTCCTACCTAGTCTCCCTCTGCCACTCTTGCTCTACTGTGGTTCATCATCTAAACTACAGACAGATGGGCCTTCCAAAAATATAAACCTGACCATGTTATTACTCCTAACACAACCTTCACTGGTTTCCCATCACCCTTAGAATACAAAGTCCTCACTCCTTAACATGGCTTCTAAGGCCTCCCTGATCTGTTCTCTGCCTCCCTGTCTTGACTTCTGGAACTCCCCTCCCAATCCCCATGCTCCAGACACACTAAAGCTTTCTGTTCCATGTACTTTCTCACCTCTAAGTCTTCACAAGTGCTCTTTCTTCCTCCTTGTAGACCTTCCCCTCATCTCCCCTTGCACCCCCTCCCCCCGACTCGACTCTCACCTCACCATCTTCTACTCATCCTTTGGGTTCCAGTTAAATCTCTCTTCTCAGGGGCCTTAGACTAAGTCAGGTCTGCAGATCAGGCTAAGTTAGGGCTCTCAAGGCACCATGCCCCTCCCCATCACAGCAGTCCTCCTACTTCTCCATCACCACTTAATGACTGCATTCATTTATATCATGTCCATTCTACCCAGTAAATGGTAAGCTCATTGAGAGCAGAGACAGTCTATTCTGTTCACTCCTCTATCAACACCCAGGGCCTCCCAGTAGAACAGATGACTAATTTGAATTTATAACAAATGAAGTTGAGATAGGAGAGTGTCTGAAATATCCTAGTGGACTGTCTTATTTTTTCAGAAGAAAAATCTTGTAAAATGGTAAAGGTATTATGTGGTAGCATTCAAGAATGCTGTTTTTGGTGTTATACATCAGAAAGCAAAAGGAGATTACAAATAAACCCAGTTATGTTTTCTCATATGTTTTTACTTTTTATTTTTGAGGGAGAAGATTTTTTATTAGTTGCAGTTAAATTTATAAGCTTTTTTTCATGAAGTTAAAATTTAAGATGCAGAACAAAAAGTTTTGCTCAGTGTAGCGGGAGAGTCATGGGATGATAAAGTTAAGTTAGCTCATGTCCTGTCCTCTTTGGGACAAGTCTCCGCAGAGGTTACATAGCTATATCTGTTTCACGTTCCCATTCATAACAACACTTCAAGTGTCCGCTCAGAGGAATTTGTATCTGTTTTTGTAGGTGTTTTAAAAAAATAATAATAATAACAACTTTGCCTAAATCCTGCTGAAAATTTTATCTGATAAATCTGCTTCTTTTGGAGAGGCTAGACTGTAAAGCAGAATAAAGATGCAACTATAAATAAAATAGCTTTTGGTTTTACTAGCCATGTAACTGTCAGGCTTTTTAGGGGTCCTATAAGATGGCTTTTCCCCTAAATTTCACTGTGGTGAAAGGGGCATTTCAATACTCACACTGCCTGCTCCTCCAGCTCCCCTCCAATGCGCTGGGACATGTTCTTCAGCACCCCGATGCTGCCAGAGACCAGCTCCAACTGCTCATCCTGCTGTTCCACGATCAACTGGTGCCAGAGAAATGGGAAATAAGCAATTAAAATCCATCTTACCTGGTTCTGAGCCCAGCACGCTAGCAGCTGCTAGCTTCTTTGCCAACTTGGGACAATTCGCATTCAGAAGCAAAGCCCAGAAATCAAAGGACCAGACCGTCGCCTCCAAGAACACGCTGCTCAAAAGGCTAGGTTGTCAAGCTACTGATAGCTCCTGCTGATCCAACTTGTGAACAGTCAGCCGGGCTTGAAACCACCAAGAGAGATTTACTCTGGCTGGCTAAAGCCCAACAAGGGAACAGAAAATGGCTGAAAGCACCTGGGCAGTGACCACCGACACAGGGGGACACTTGGGAAGAGGAAGCCTGGTGCCAGGGTCAAGGTCTCAATTCACGACAGACAGCCACAGCTCTAACACAAGAGTCTGGCAAATCTCTGGATGTGGGAAAGCTCCACCCACAGACTCCTTTCCTCCCTCCTCAAGGACAGACTGGAGACAGCTCCTCCGTGGCAGTGCGTTACCTCAAGGACAACTACTGAGTGATAAATGTTTACTTTTAATTGTGCTGTAGCCTCTTCACTTTTTATAAAGAAAAGTTTGCTTGGTAAATAGCAATTTAGGTAGACAAGTGGGTAAGCAGACATGCTAATGGAAAAACAACAAAAAAACACATAACTTACATCTATATATCAAACACAATATTTAAGAACCAATAGTTTCGATGGGTAGATGATCCTCAAATCCCCAAACACACTATTATTAGCCTCCTTTCATTAATACAACTACGTATCGCAAGTAACAATGCAGACATAATCAACCTCACTTTCCTTCTACCCCTTAACCTCCACCAAAGCAATCATATATATAATGGAACCAATAATAATTTTCAGTGAAAAAACAGGGACTCAATTTTTCTGAAAGTGCCTTTGTTGAAAGGAACAAAAACCGAGTATACAAGTGGAGGCTGGGGAAGACGCTGCTTTTGTTTTTTTTTTAGCCAGTGGCCTTGTCTGTCAGTTTTGACGTCTGGTCTGCTTTTCCTAAGAGACCTAATCAAGCTTGGTGCTCTTGAAACAGCCGTGCTCTAAAGGAGGTTTTAACAACCCTTCATGTATGCAATCATTACACACGAGACAGGCAGCCGCAGGACGAGCTCCGGCCCACCTGCCTGTCCTTACCAGCAAAGCCCCCCGCTGACAGAGGAACTGAGGGAAGTGCCCCGCCTCCCGCCTCCCTGTCTTCAGCCAGCGGGTTCTCGGGTACCTGTTGCTGTGCCTGCTGCTCCTCGATGAAATGGGAGTTGGCTAACTGGAGCTCGCGGTCGAGGTGCCCATATTTATCTGTCATCCCAGTGCTCCAGGTCTGGCCGCCACTGTCTCCTAGAAGCGCCTGTGAGATGGGGCAGAGGGCAGCAGGGCCAGGAGGAACACACAGTTACTCTCTCTGAACAAGTGCTCCACCACAGTGACATCAAGCGTTCTCATACTCCTCATAATCCATCTTCCCCCGGCTCAGCCTTTTATGTAGCAGTGTAGGTTGGTGCCTGCGTGGGACTATTTAAGGAATGCCAGGAAGGGCACTGTTTCCAAACTCTCCCAATGGGACTCACAAATGGGCTTTGTCCCATTAAACTGCAAATAAATGTCAACTTTAAGTCAACAAATGCCCATCTGTATACTGCCTTACAATCTAAAAGCACTTGGTCTCTTCAGGCCAGCTCTTCCTAGCACCCCTGGAAGTTCACCAGAGACCCACAGGGTCTAGTCTGATTCCAGAGATCTAGAGTTTTTATTTAAGTATGATCCAGGAAAGCTTTTGGTTTTTTGGAGTGGGGAGGGGAGAGTTTGCTAGAACGACAAGAAGCTAACATAGCCCCTCACATACAGAAGGCACAAGAACCACAAACATCTGTTCAATTTAACCCATGAATAAATCCCAATGCCCTTCAGTTGAAAGGCTACAGGCTCCCCAGATGGGAATGGGGGTTGCTTCACCAGGCAGGTACAGCCACAACGGGTGCCTGACCCCGACAACCCAGGCAAGTGCTGGCCCTGAAGCCCGAGTTCTCCACCAGGGCCCCCAGATGCCAGGGTCAGGTTTCCCAATATGAATTCATGGAAGTTTGCAGCCAGAGAAGGATAAGTTTGGGAATGTCTTGGTTGCATGAAGAGGCCAGCCAGGAAAGTGAGAGCTCACGCTCAGCAGCTGGCTCTTACCAGGATCCCACAAGCCCTTCTGAGCTGCTGGTCAAACTAAATGCTCACACCAGCCCTGCACAATGAACCAGAAGATGCTGGTGACTAAGATTCTTTTTCCGTGTAGAGTTGCCAAATCTTCTTACCAGGTACTTTTTCTTTCTGAAACTGTTAAAAGCCTAACTGATTACCTGGTTCTCTGTATGAAAAGCCCTCCAATAGTCCCTCCATACGACACTGACTTCCTTGCCTGACTTTCAGAGGTGAATTCAGTCCAATGGCCACACTTCTGGGGCTAGGCTCGGGGAGGCTCAGGTTGCAGAGCATAAGTTACGAGGTGCTTATGAGAAGACGATCAGGATGCCTGAGAGCTTCCAGTCCAGTCAAGAGGCTGGATGGTGACTGTCTCTGGTATAAGGCAGACCCAAGGCTTTTTGTGGATGGCTCTGCCCCAACCTGGCTTGAGGGCTATCGAGATTTAAAAGATCCTGCTCATTCTGATGCAAAGACTCTAAGGACCTCTGTGGAGGACAATGGGGCTTAGTCACAATTTTTTCAAGGTCAGAAAAAGGCTACAGTGGATCATTAGGCTACAGAGAGAGAACTGGGGCTCCACCAGGGCCTTGTGTGCTCCTGGGGCCACAGTGAGGGCTATTTTTTCTAGCTTATCCATGGTCTACACTTAGGTGGACATATGTCACACTGTTGAGCGTCACCTATGCTCTACTGTGAAGCAGCTTAGATTTCATCAGTCTGACCTCCAGGAGTCTGTTCTAATGGGAAAGATGGGGAGAGGGCCCAGTGCACTGAAGACCCGCCTGTGTGCAGGTGCCAGAGCAGAGGTCCTGGCCAAGCAGCACAGCATCTGGTCCCAGCATGAGGCAGGAGGCCAACTCTGCCCGCTTGAGTGCTCAGAGAACCCTGGCCTGCTATGCCTTGAAAATCTGTGACTCAAAGACATTTCAGTCACCATCTAAAACAAAATTCTAAGCCACACTTGGAAAGCAATGTATAAATACACATTTTATTTATGGTACTTCAACTATACTATCTAGAGAATAAAAAATTCACATCAGGAGTAATAAAGGACGTTACCTACCTCACGGTCACAACCACTTCAGGCACTGTCACTCAACTTCTGTAAGCTGGGGTGCAAACGAAAAGGGAACTCCAAAACTAGCCAGCTTGTGGCCATTCACTAGCTTCTTTCAAGAGTTAGTGCCACACGGAATGGGCTAGCTAATGGCTTTTCCTAGCTGCACTGTTAGAGCAAGGGAGGCAGATAGGAAGAAAAAACGACGACGACTTGGAAAATGAAACGCAGGGAAAGGAAACAGGAACAATAAGTTAGGGGATATTTGGAGAGTCCCTTCCCCTTCTTCGAGCTTTTATACTACCTGTTTTCAAAACTAAGGGGGTCAACAAAGACCCATAGGTATAAAGTAAGGATTTATATTATGAACTGATTCCTAGTTAAAAATAGTGAGCTGCTTTCTTGAGCTAACAGTCCATTAAATGGACTATTGGTAACTTTATAGAGTCTGAATAGAATCTAAATCAGGTCTAAATTTTGACTGTTGCATATTTTTAAAAAAGGACTGTATTTTATCAGTTGGAAAGGAATTTCTATCATATACCAAAATGTGTAATTTTAAAAAGATACTTAAAATTCAAGGACTGGTCTTTTTTTCTGAGGAAGATTGGTGCTGAGCTAACATCTGTTGCCAATCTTCCTCCTTTTTTCCTTTTTTCTCCCCAAAGCCCCAGTAGATAGTTGTATATCATAGTTGCACACCCTTCGAGTTGCTCTATGTGGGACATTGCCTCAGCATAGCTTGATGAGCGGTGTGTAGGTCCACACCCAGGATATGAACCGGTGAACCCCGGGCCACCGAAGCAGAGTGTGCGAACTTAACCACTACGCCACAGGGATGGCCCAAGACTGGTCTCTTACAGCTTTTATTTTTGATGTGTCAATATCTGTGCTTTGATTTCTGAAACTTATTAGGTTTCGTAAGTTATTTGTAATAACTAATAAAAACTGGACCTCATCTCAAAAAAAAAGATACTTAAAATGATGAAAGATTTAATTTAACACACACTTAAGGTTCCTCAAATGTCTTTACATAAAATTTCAATCATTAAATGGCTAGTGAGTTCTATGGGTAGGCAATAGCAGCTAGAGATTTAAAAACAACCACAACAAAAAACCAGACCACGACACAATCCCTCCTTACTCTCAAGGAGCTTGGGGTCCAGCAGAAGAAAAGACAAGAAACTAAGCAATTGCAGCCCTTAGCAGAGAGCCTGGCACACAGAATGTGCTCAACAGGTGCAGAATAAACGGCTGTGTGGTCAGGGCTATAAGGGTCCACACAGACTCTCTATGGGAGTCCAAAGGAGAGAACCGGAAGGGGTGAGGGAGGGGAGGGGACAGAGACTTGATGATGGTGCTGGGGCAGGCTGACCAGACTTTCATAAAACCTGCCAGCATCACTCTGGGCTCAGCACGCACAGGGCTTCTGCTTTGTCACATGATACACGGATGGTCAGCATTTTTAAATTCCAAATATCTAAACTGTGTATTTTCTTTGATGATACTGTATATGCTGATGTTCACTCACCTGTCTATTTTTTCTTTCAGCTAATGCCTGCACAGATGAAGTTGACATCTGATCCTTCATGTCCTAATGAGATAATAGAAGACCAGAAAACAAATAAAAGATATACTTAAACAAAATCATGCTTAATATTTTGTACACTAGCAAAATACGCAATTTATTAGATTTTTTTTTCCAAAAAGACAGCATTCTTTGGCTTTTATTTTCAGTCTCAAAAATAAAGGAAATAAAGAGAACGATGCTCCCTTGAAAAAAGGTAACCTGGATACTAAATTAAGAGAAAAGAAGAAGGAACTAGCATTTCCTAGGTACCTACCACAGGCTAGAAACACCGCTAAACAAGTGCACACAGTGGCAATAAATTCTTGCAACGACCTTGTGAAGCTGGTATTATCTCCATTTTATAGCTGAGGAAACGGAGATCTAGGAAGGCTAAGATACTTTCTCAAGGTCACACAGCCAATTAATGGCAACCCTGGGGTTCAAACACACAAGCCTGTGCTGAAGGGCTAGCACCTTCAAGTGTAATACACATGAAAAACCATGTCATTGAGGATAAAGTATATTTACAGTGATACAAGAGGTCACTTATTTTACTTCTGAGTTGGATTCATGTGAAGTATAGACTATTTCTAATGCCAGAGTGAATCTCCAGAGTGGTATTAAAAATAATTTTATATGGAAAGAAAAATGAATGGACCCATTACTTAATCCAAGGCAAAACATTTTATTAAATATGAGCCATTTTGTTTATCATATTTAACCACAACCTCATATACTTTAAAATGATTTGAACTAAGTACATGATTACTATAAGACAATTTTTTTCTTTTCTTTTTTTAAACTTTTTTTTTGAGGAAGATTGGCCCTGAGCTAACATCTGTTAGCTTTTTTCCTTTTTCCCTTTTTTCTCCCCAAAGCCCCAGTAGGTAGTTCTATGTCATAGTTGTACATCCTTCTAGGTGCTCTATGTGGGATACCACCTCAGCATGGCTTGATGAGCGGTGCGTACGTCTGTGCCCAGGATCTGAACCAGCGACCCCCGGGCCACCGAAGCGGAGCGTGCAAACTTATTAACCACTATGCCACCAGGCCAGCCCCTACAATTTTTCTTAAAAAGAAAAAAAAAAGGTTGCAAAAATACTTCATAATTTTCTGTTAGCAAGTAGACCATTTTATAGATGCACATGTTGAGGTATCAGACTTTTAGAAACTTCTTCCAAGACCCATGACAAGCGAATGGTAGATCAGACAGTGCCACAGCTTCCCTAATTTCTACTGCACTAAGTATGAATCATAACCACACTTGCTTCAACTTTCAAAACACCCATTCCTTCATTCAGCAAATACTCCCTGAAGCCTGACATGTGCTCGGCATACAGCAGTGAACAATACAGACCCGGCCCCTGCCGCACGGAGTTCACCCCACGGTGGAGAAGAGGCACAGTAATCACACACACACAAGGTGATTACTGTGCTGGGAAGGAAGGGCATAAGCTCAAATCGAGTGGGTGAAAGGCCACTTTGGAAGGACAGGGGTGACATCTGAATCGAGACCTGAAGGACGAGAATGTGCCAACCACAGAAAGAACTAAGGGCAGAGGATTCCAGGCAAAGGGAACAGCAAGTACAAAAGCCTGGAGGCAGAAAAGGCTCAGTGCTTTTTAGCTTTTGAGAAGGAAGTCTGGTGCGGCTGAAGGAGGCGACTGTGTGTTGGCAGCATGGGAACAGAAGATAAGATTGGCCCAAACATGCAGGGCCTTTGGGCTGCTTGGATTTTATTCTGAGGCAGGGGTTGGCAAACTTTTTTTTAAAAATTTAATTAATTAATTAATTAATTTATTTTTGTGTGTGTGAGGAGATCAGCCCTGTGCTAACATCTGCCAATTCTCCTCTTTTTTTTTTTTTTTTTTTTTTGGGAAGACTGGCCCTGGGCTAACATCTGTGCCCATCTTCCTCTACTTTATATGGGATGCCACCACAGCATGGCCTGACAAGCAGTGCATCGGTGCGCGCCCGGGATCTGAACCGGCGAACCCCAGGCCGCGGCAGCAGAGTGCGCGCACTTAACCACTTGTGCCACCGGGCCGGCCCATAATAGTCTTTTTTTTTAAACAATGAACATGACTTGCATAATTAAAAATATCAACACGCATGTATGGAAAAGTGACTCTGAAGTTCAACTGAACTTTGACCATTATCTGTAGACTGTGTTTTTGCTGTTAAAAGTTAGGACAGTAAGCGGGGAAGTAATGACAGCAAAGGAGAACAAGGAGGCTTCTAGGGGGTGCTGGGAATGCTCTGGGAGCTGCCTCCACAGTTGTGATCAGTTTATAAACTCTTCAAGCCGCACACTTGGGATACATGCACTTTTCTGTCTTGTTATACTCTAATAAAAATGGTAAAAAAAAAAAAAAAAAAAATACTAGTGTCCCAAACAATGGCTTACCTTTACAATGAAGGCAAACCGGACCAACCCTTTGAAAATAAATTTCGCATTTTGTTTCAAGAGCCTTGATATTTGCATCAAATATTCACTGCCTTGACCCAGTAATTCCACGAATAGGATTTATTTTATGGAAATAATATAACATATATTCCAAAATAGACATGCAAAGATGTACACTGCAGTGTTATTTATAACATGAAAAAGTAGAAATAAACATCATGTCCAAACGAGAGAACAGTAACTTACAGTACACACACAATGCAGTATTATGTATCAGACAGCCCTGCTCTACATGAATCTGTGTTGATATAAGACTATGTCCACAATATATATATATTTTTTAATAATTTTATTTATTCATTTATTTTTTCCCCCAAAGCCCCAGTAGATAGTTGCACGTCACAGCTGCACATCCCTCTAGTTGCTGTATGTGGGACACGGCCTCAGCATGGCCAGAGAAGTGGTGCATCGGTGCGCACCCGGGATCCGAACCCAGGCCGCCAGCAGCGGAGCGCACACACTTAACCGCTAAGCCATGGGGCCGGCCCTCACAATATATTTTTTCATAGAAAAAAATTACAGGACAATTTCATGCCATCCCTTTTAAGAATGTATTTCAATGTCCATGAAATGGCTGGAAAAAATATATAAAACTGTTGTCAGTGATTATTTCCAGGGAGTGGAATTATAGAATGGAGGGGCACTTTCGCCTCTCTTACACATCAAAATTATCTGCATTAAAAAAATAGTAAGTATGGACTACTTTTAATTTAAAAAAGTAAAATAAAAAAATGCTTATGATTGTATAACAGTATCATCACAACTATGTAAAAATACAACTGTCATGCATTGAGAAGAAAATACAACAAAGTTTTGTGTTTGTGTATTAGTTTGAGTTTTCTTTTTCTATTTTTTCCTCTTGTAAAATTTTTCTAATTTTCTTTAATGAGCAGGCACTACCTTAATGACATATATATTTAAAATTTCATTTTTAAAGTTTTCTGCTTAATAAAAAAATATGGCGTGTGTGTGTGTGCGCGCGCGTGCGCGAGCACACTCGTGTTAGCTCTGATGGTCAGTGAACTCTTCAACAGCTGTGAGGTGCGCATCCCGTACGTGGCCATGGCTGCAGTTAAACAGCTATGGCTTTTCCTTCCAGGATGGCATTTTTTCTATGTAGGTTAAAAGTCACCAAATACAACACACCACCTTCATATTAGGATTTGGAATTTTAAGCTATGTCACTAAACAGTTTTAAGCATTTTGTAACAACCTGTCATGGCAAAAACATAATTACTCATCTTCTTTCTAACACATGAAATTTAGAACCAGCAGTCAAGAAGCAGTTAGTACCAATAAAATATGGTTCACCTGCCAAAAGAACAACAAATGTCCTGGTTGTTTATGCTCCCGTTCCCGTTTCACACCGTCTCCCAAGCTGAGTGACTGGGACAGTATAAACCGCAGTGTGTCCCACTCATAGGTCTCATATCCCAACATCATCTGTATCCACACTGGACACCTCATTCTTCTTGATTAATCAAAACCACTTCTATCTTGACATATAATTGACTATAAACAATTCTTGGGTTGGAACAGGTTGGTTTTTTTTGGGAGAGGGGTATAGTTCTGATAGCCTTTGAAAGTTAAAGTCAGAGAATGTTAGTGAGGATCATTTCATCAATAAAGAAAATTGAGATCCAGAGAGGCTAAATGACTCGCTACAATGAAAATTTATTAAGGTCACGCAGCTGAGCCTAGAACTCAGGTCTCGTCACCTCTCATTCATTGTTCTGCCACACACTGCAAAACCTTCCACTACTCACGTCACTCAAAGTTACTTCTGGAATGTATTTCCATAATATAAATATTTCACATGCAAAATCTCTGATGTACAGGCAACTCCACAAACGTAAAAATGATTACCTCAAAAATATCAAAGCTACTTACACAAAAACAAAAATATTTTGCTTTCTTCAGTAAAAATTGCCAGGAAAACTTAATAAAAACTGCACAAATTTAGATGCTTGGAAAGACATACACAAGACTCTTTAAACAAGGGAGGCTTACTAAACACAAAACCAATGAACATTTAATTGAGAAGAAACACAGGAGAAAGATTTATTTCTTCAAGTAGAACCAAAAAAAAAAAAAAAAAAAAAAGTATAATGTATCACTGACTCCCCTGCCTAAGAAGGAGAAAGCACCATTGGCAGACACTGTGGATCAAAATGTATTCCTCTTGGAGCAACATTATGTGAAAACCTGCTGATAACAGTAACAGAACAGCTTTCATAAACTTGTAATGTACAAATCCCTAATCTGAGCTTGGTCTTGTGTCTTATTTCCCCAATCTGCTAACTCTGATCCCTTTCTATCAACTTCCTCCACCTGGAACCCAGAGATCTCTGTATACAAGTACTGTTTAACCGAATGCAGTAATACTGAATCAACACAAGGTGCTTTTTGTTGTTTAAAATCAAGTTAACATCATTACCACTTCCTTCTCTTCTACAGGACTTCAATTAGAATTTAGTGAAATTAGATCTGCAAAAGCTCAGTTAGGTACTACTATTAACACCACTGGAAAATAGTAACAGCTTTCCAAAAAGGGGTCATAAATTAAAACAAGAATGATTAAAAACTCTAAAATATTCAGTTGGATCATACAGTTGAGCATGGTTTAGATCTGAACTCTAGAAGGACTGTAACATTTTGAAGTACAGATTTGATTTAGAATAATTCTTTCAAAGAATGTATTTTTTTTTTTTTTTTTTGTG